TTTGGGCCTTACAATCTCCTGACCTCAAAAAATTAAAAATTATGGATAGACCTTAAAAGAGCGGTGGTAAAGAAGCCCAAAAAATCTCAAAAAAAGGGGAAGGACTTTTGTAAGGAAAAAAGGGCAAATCCTCAAACAAAAATTTGAAAGACTCTTGGCTGGCTACAAAAAGCATTACAAGCTGTGATACTTGCCAAAGGGGGCAGTACAAGATTTTAAAACTCTGCAGGGTCCCCAAAAACTTTTGCAGACCCCATTTTTTTGTTTTTGTTTTTTTGAAAGTGTAAATGAGGGAAATAAAATCTAATTTTGTTTGACATATTATAAGGATGTTAATCTGTCCTTTGATGGCTTTTTGGAGATTTTTGAAATTCTTTTCTCTTTGACTTCTTTATGCACATTAATACAAATTTTTAGCTGGGGTGCCAAACTTGTCGATTCCCCACTGTAGTTACAGTAGATGACCAGAGACTTGCTGGGCACCAGTACCAGGAGAAGGCCAGAGATGGCGGAACATTTACCCCATGAAATTGAGTGTTTTGGCCAGTTTGACATTGCTTTTGATCATTCAGTCATCTTGCTTACATTTACATTAAAGAGGCACTTGTAGGTCAGACAAATATAACATAACAGTTATAATGAAATAACCACAAATGTCTTTTCTGTGCTCACAGCATTATCAGTTTTATTCAACCCCCAAGTGACATTCAATCTTAGTACTTAGTACAGCATCCTTTTACAGTTATAACAGCTTTTAAACGTGAAGCATAGCTTGACACAAGTGTCTTGCAGCGATCTACGGGTATCTTCGCCCATTCTTCATGGGCAAAGGCCTCCAGTTCAGTCACATTCTTAGGCTTGCGCACTGCAACTGCTTTCTTTAAGTCCCACCAGAGGTTCTCAATCGGATTTAAGTCTGGTGACTGCGATGGCCACTCCAAAATGTTCCAGCCTTTCCTCTGCAAACCATGCTTAGTGGACTTGGAGGTATGCTTGGGATCATTGTCCTGTTGAAAGGTCCACGTCTCCCAAGCCTCAGGTGTGTGACGGACTGCATCACGTTTCCATCCAATATCTCCTGGTACTGAAGAGAATTCATGGTACCTTGCACACGCTGAAGCTTCCTGTACCTGCAGAAGCAAAACAGCCCCAAAGCATGATTGACCCTCCACCATGCTTCACAGTAGGCAAGGTGTTCTTTTCATCATAGGCCTTGTTCTTCCTCCTCCAAACATAGCGTTGATCCATGGGCCCAAACAGTTCTAATTTTGTTTCATCAGTCCACAGAACACTATCCCACAACTTTTGTGGTTTGTCCACATGGCTTTTGGCATACTGCAGTCGACTCTTCTTATTCTTTGGAGACAGCAAGGGGGTACGCTGGGAGTTCTGGCACGGAGGCTTCATTACGCAGTGTGCGTCTTATTGTCTGGGCTGAAAAAATTCTGTACCCACATTGACAAATCTTTTCTCAGTTCCTCAGCAGTCACACGGGGTATTCTCTCCACTTCTACGACTTCAGGTAGCGCACAGCAGTCGAAAAGTCAGCAATTTCTTTCTGCCACGACCACGGTAGCGTTTCAACAGTGCCCTTTGCCTTGAATTTGCGAATGATGCTTCCTAAGGTGTCTCTTGGTATGTTTAAACATCTTTGCAATTCTTCCTTATAGCCCATTGCCCTTCTGTGAAGAGGAAATCACTCTTCTCTTGAACTTCCTGGACCATTCTCTTGCTTCACCATGTTGTACCCACACCAGTAAAGTCTAGAAGGAGATGAGTATCACACAGTCATTTTTCAAAGCTGCCTTAATTGGTGCTTAGTTATGCTTGATTGCTGCTCGGGTGACATCACAGGTGTTATCAATTACCTGATGGAACGCACATGTATGGACACATCTGTTCTTCAGAGTGGTATGTCCTTTAAGGGGTATGCAATAATTGTGGCCACATGAAGAAACCACATCAGTAAACCCCAATTTACTACTGTATTACATAAACCAAATTGATGTCATTTTAGTTTGCATTTGGGTAGGATACAAAGTCCTTGTAGGAATTTGATTTCTAGAATACAAATTCCAAATGTGACACTATAGGTCCCTAAACCCCTTTACAGCATTGGGGGTTGAAATAATTTTGGACACCCCCCCGACCAACTGTAGTAGACGTAAGAATACTAGGAATAGTAAAGCTCGAAAGAGCAGGGTCCTTCGAACCCTCGTGTATTGTATTGTTTCTGTCTTGTCTCATGTTCTGTCTCACCTTGCTATTGTACAGCGCTGAGCAAAACCCTTTGGCCGCTATATGAACTACATGTATCATAATAGTAATCAGGAGATGACCAGAGACTGCTGACACCGTATACAGGGGATGGGACCAGAGAGCCTGTGGGGACACGTTACAGGGGGCGGATGAACCAGAGGACTGCAGGACACCAAGTACAGGGGATGGACCAGAGTCTGCAGCACACAGTACAGGGATGACCAGATGACTTCGGACACAGTACAGGGGATGGACCCAGAGGATGCGGACACAGTACGGGGATGGACCGAGACATGCGGGACACAGTAAGGGGGATGGACCAGAGGTACTGCGGACACAGTACAGGGGCTTGACCCAGAGGCTGCCGGACCTTTTGGGGACGGGAGGGGGAGCTGGTACCCACTCCCACTTCTGCAGGAGATGTCCTTTTTCGTGGGGCACAGGCTGTGCCTGTGTTGCCACATGCGTATGCACACGCGAAGCGCAGCATTTTGTGTATGGCACGGTGTCTTCTGGGTGAAAACCTGTCGGGTGTACCAGAAGGATGCCAGACAATTCTCAAAAGTGCAGTGCTTCATGCGCAGTGGGGCACCAGGGCTGTGACAGCTGAGGTGCCACACTTTAACGATGCCTGGCGCGGGAAGACTGCACAGCGCTGGGACGAAGGAACAGGTAAGGTCCTGCTGCAGACAGCGAGAGCTGAGCGGCCGGGGCCTGTATTCTGACACGGTAGATGCAGCGGAAGGATACCGGACGGCCGCTCCAATATTCACTATATACGATGGCACTGACATTTTCCCCCTTGTTTGGGGGAGAAACGTGTGTTTTATGGGAGTGCATTGATCAGCTCACCTTTGTTCTGTGTAGTTTCTGCATAGCAGGCCTATAATATTTTGTGTTCTTTCTATGTTTCTGCAGCTGACAGACCAGTGAGGGTTTATGCGGACGGTATCTTTGACTTATTCCACTCTGGACACGCCCGAGCTTTAATGCAAGCAAAGAATCTCTTTCCTAACACATACCTGATTGTAGGAGGTAAGGCAAGGCTTTGGCAAGGAGATGGGTGTAGGGGACACGTGTGGCTGCTGAGAGTAGTACATTTTTGACCATTTTGCTTAATTTGTAACCACACAAGGAAACCTTGTGGGCTGTTTTGCTGACTCTGCTTGGCCTATATGAGGTATACAAAAGCTTCTCTCATAGAGGTGAAAGGAAAAGGCATGTCTACATTTCCTCTGGAAGTAAAGCATACAAAGTATCTGCAGATTGGCTGGCATCTGAGACTAAAGTACTACTGAATTCATATGGAAAATGCATTTTATCCATAATGTGCTTACTCTTCCATGCTAACTCTTATTTTCCTTGCCTTAGGTTTTTTTTCACACTTTTGTGGTCTGATATGGCTTTGTGTAAATTAAAGATGGAACCACCATATATTGGAGGTTCACAGTTTCAGCCCTTGGCACTTTTATATATAGCATACATGTCACATGTACCTTTTTTGTTTGCAAATTGTATGCCTGTTTAATCAAATGTTCCTGTGTTCCCAGCCTATGCATGATGGTGTTCTAGTAGAGCTGTGACTTGATCTAATTAGATGACTTTTCTTTTTCTAGTTTGTAGTGATGAGTTGACACATAACCTGAAGGGCTTCACAGTGATGAATGAGGCAGAACGGTATGATGCAGTTCAGCACTGTCGCTACGTAGATGAGGTGGTGAGGAACGCACCATGGACACTCACCCCAGAATTCCTTGAGGAGCACAGGGTGAGAGGGGATCCACTCTACAAGGTTGCCTCTCTGAAATAATAGTTGGAGCAGGCATGACCCATCAGCCATTACCAGTTTTAAGAATATCCACAGTATTTGCATGCAGGTGAATGTACACTTGATCACTTCACTGATTTGCCTCTTCAAACAACACAGTTGAGGCTGAAGTATAATTGTCATTTAAACACAATTCCTGGAATTGTGTATGTTAATGCAACAAGAGCATTTCGCTGCTACAGCATAGGGCAGTTTGGTAGCTTAGGGGTCTAGTAATGCAGCACTGGGGACTTAGGTTGTTTTGCCAGCAGGATTCTACCAGAACCAAACTTGTGTTCTATTTGTGATTATGTGGGTTGCTCTTGTTTGTTCACACCCTCCAAAACACATACTGATCCAATAGTTGATTCCCATTCAGCGTTAACCCTGTAGGATGTGACTGTAGTAGATCCATATCAATTGTATGCACCTTTGGTGGTAGGGACAAGCATGAATGGCATAACATTATGGAGCTTTACATAATGCCTTCAGTAGATAAATAAAGCAAAGCAATAATAAAACTGTTTAGCTATATGGGATAGAATATAGAGAATTCACTTAATGAAGAAGTCCTAATAGTTTTTTTTTTTTTTTTTTTTTTTTTTCTAATTTTACATCATCCTGGCAAAATGGCACTTTACATTATTGCTCTTCATTAATTTATAAAAGTGAAAATCCATTTAGTCTAACCTGGGCTTTTGTTATTGTTTTCTTCCTTTTTATAGATTGACTTTGTGGCACATGATGACATCCCTTACTCATCTGCAGGAAGTGATGATGTTTACAAGCACATAAAAGAAGCAGGTCAGTCTCTTCCACCATTACAGGCAATAAGGCACACAGAAATGTATATATTTTATATCATTATGTATATGTAGCAGAAAATTCAATTTTTTACTATCATTGCACAGGAATGTTTGCACCTACCCAGCGCACAGAAGGGATCTCTACGTCTGATATCATTACTAGGATTGTACGGGATTATGATGTCTATGCCCGCCGAAATCTTCAGCGTGGTTACACTGCAAAGGAGCTTAATGTCAGCTTTATAAATGTGAGGGCTGGTTTTTTTTTTTTTTTTTTTTTTTGTTTTTTTGTTTTTTTTAAGTTTATGCTTTGGGAAATATACTGTACATCCCATAAAAGATCTGCTTTCCCCACAGCGGATTCAGAGCTTCACTGGAAAATCGTAAAGGGAAAATTGTGGACTGTTTTTATATTAGGCTTTACAAGCAGACGTTATTGAATTAACTATGATGCAACAGTCTCATTATTGAAGTCATAGCTTCTGTTACATACTTCAGTGTGCTGAAAACAAAATTCAAAGCTAGTCTTCTGGTCTTAGCTTGTGCACTAAATAAAGCCTTCCTTCTGGGATGCCTTTCTGTTCTCTGAATTGCAGATAGACAGCATGCTAACATGATGAGGTGGAAACCGCTCATATTACTGCGATGTTCATAATGCATGGAAATATATTAAGGAGTATATCTATGAATAGACCCTCTGTTCCAAGTGACTTTATGGAGATCTTCCGTACATTTTAGATTTAGGATAATTCAAGATTTTCTTTACCATGTGGTTTATTTCGTAAGGTAAAATGGACAAAGGTGCTTTTGCAAAGCACAATACCTATTATTCAGCTTTTTAAAGTTGATAAAACAATGAAGAATGATGAATAGTTGCAAGAGTTACTGCATATTTTTTTAGACTAGTCAGCATTATAAAAAACAAATAAATAAAAAGCCTGCAAGGTTAGGTAAGCAGCACCAGACAATCAACCAAGATATTAAAGTGCATCTAAACTCAAACAAAAATTCAATATATTGCAGCTTACCATTCCTTAGGTGTAATGGCTGCTTTAGTTTGCAGTTTCTAGTTGCTAACACACATCCTGTCTTAGGTGATTCCTTTATCTATGGAGAAAAAACAGCCACCCTTGGACAACAGCACTGTCTGGATTGGGTAGTGTTAAGCCATATGCACATTTGGTGTTTAGCCTGTGTGCATTCAATCCCAGCGTTGTCAAATGTCCAAGAGGCACAGGTACTGTATCCACCCCCCCACCTGCATGCAGCCTGTCAAAATCTGTAAGACACTGAAATATGCTGCCGCTGGATGTTGTACCAAGTAGTACTCACATTTAGGGCCCCAGGTGTCCAGCATCATATCTCCAGATTGCAGAATACCCTGTTATCTTGGCATACTTCCCTGAACAACACTAAAGCGAGTACCAGTACAGCATCCAGCATATTTCAGCCTTTGCAGGCCCCGAGTGTGTTAAAATGCTATTGGATACACACAGGCTAAATGCTGTTTGCCTAACCCCACTAGGGCCTCATTTACACTTGTCTTGCTCCCTTGAGCTATTTAGTGGAAGCTGGCAGGTGATGTTACTGCTCAGGAAATTCATCCCCATTGTCAGCCGCTTATTAACACAGGGAATCCCCAGGTTCTTGACCATGTGACTACTTCAAAGCTGAAAAAAAGGTATTTACACTTCCTCTTTTACAACGGTATGCAGCATATAATATAGGTATGAGGAGAGGGTAAACAATGTTTTAACTTGACTTCTATTAGACTTCCATGTAAAATTTTGCTTTTGGGGTTAGACACGCTTTAATAAATACTGGCCCTATCACTACATAACTTTTGGAGTGTTTTACATGCTCCTTGTAACTGGGACAAGTTGATTTCTAATTGAAAGAGACTGGTGTTTGTCATTAACATTAGAGATGGTGTACTAAGATGGCGACTACAGCACCTTTAAATAAATAATTTAAAAGTGAATACTTGTGAGCTATTATGAATGAGGTGTTCAATAGAATATTAATAATTAACTGCTTAAATAATGTGCTTGGTTCGCTGACACTTACACAAACCCACTTAGTTGTGTATCTATTATCCAATTATATACACTTATAGTGCCGCGCTCCTATTGTAAACCCTTTATCACATAGTATGTATCACGCTTATAAATAAATAAACTAATAAATTAATGACAAAATTAATTGATGTGACATATAAATACATTAAAAAATAGATATAAATAGATCAAACCATTATTGTGCTAAAACATACCATATGTGCTCTATCAATATTTATAATAATACCAATTCAATAATAAATGTGCAAATATAATAAAGTGCTTAAAAAAAGTATTTTTGTAAATATGTGCAATGTGCAGGTTAACTCCTCCTTATTCCCTCTTTCCAGGTGCCGTGTAGTCTCAATATGCGCTCACCTTAATATTTGCCCAAATAAATTTAGGCAAGTAGACTTTTAGTCCTTCCAGGACTGGTGGGATAATGCTCCTATGTTTAGTATTCCAGATGGACATGTAGGTCAGCTGAGATCCTCCTATGACCTCCTCTTTCTCCATACAAGAAGCTGCTCATAGATGAACGTTTGGAAAATGTGTGAGAATCTCCTATTTCCCCTCCTGGGGACACCTCCTCCTCGTATCCACCTTTCCTCAGTGTGGGGTATATAAATCAAATGGAGAGAAGAAAGACCATGGTGCCTTATCCTTTTATATATAGGTAGTTTATTGCTACCGGATGCGGTGATATACAGCAGTTTCTGGCACTTGTTTGATACAGGTATGCAAAGTTTGTAATATACTCTGCCTCTCTGTCTGCCTCTGCTGGAATCGCCGAGCCTCTCCGATGCAACGTCATGACGTCAGAGCCCCTTTGGGGCTCTTAGCAGACCTACATTTCCATCTGGAATACTAAACATAGGAGCATTATCCCACCAGTCCTGGAAGGACTAAAAGTCTATTTGCCTAAATTTATTTGGGCAAATATTAAGGTGAGCGCATATTGAGACTACACGGCACCTGGAAAGAGGGAATAAGGAGCTCACCTGCACATTGCACATATTTACAAAGACTTTTCTTTAAGCACTTTATTAATTATATTTGCACATTTATTATTGAATTGGCATTATTATAAATATTGATTGAGCACATATGGTATGTTTTAGCACAATAATGGTTTGATCTATTTATATCTATTTTTTAATTTATTTATATGTCACATCAATTAATTTTGTCATTAATTTATTAGTTTATTTATAAGCGTGATACATACTATGTGATAAAACCTTTAAATAAATACATCTTGGTATATCTAATGCAGTAGAATTTAACACATTAGGAAGGATACACAATGATTACTTCTGAAAGACTGTCTGCCTGGTATCACACAAAGTGAAATTGTCTGCTCTGAATTGATTTCAGGAGAAGAAGTACAACCTGCAGGAGCGTGTGGATAAGGTGAAAAAGAAAGTAAAGGACGTAGAGGAAAAGTCTAAGGAATTTCTGGAGAAGGTAGAAGTAAAAAGCATTGATTTGATCCAGAAATGGGAGGAAAAGTCCAGGGAATTCATTGGAAACTTCCTGGAAATGTTTGGCCCAGAGGGAGCTTTGGTAAGTAAGGTTCCCTTTAGCGTTGACTCTAGATCACTCTGCAGACAGAGATACTTGTGTTCTTTGAACACAGTGTCAGATATCAATATACAAAATAACCAGATTTGGTATTTACTAAAGTGTGGAATTCATAATTCAGCAATATTTGTTTTAGTAAATCACAGGAATACTTTGTTGAATCAAACTAGCATAACAGTATATATTAACCAGTCAAAACTGAAGTTCCACAAAATGTAACAGCATTCTTTTTTTGAATTCTATGTTTTAGCAATGAACTGATGAGAAACCATTAAAGAAGAACTAAAGGCACTATACTAACCTTCTATCTAAAAGTTTGTTAGGGGTCCTTTGCCAGTGCTGGTCTTCGGGCATGTTCATTGATTGGCTTGGGGTGACATAACTCCTGTGCATGAGTCAGTTATCCTGGCATATAGGGACTGCATCGGCATTGTAAGCCGATTTGCACATGTGCTTCCTGGTTTCTGTCTTAAGTCAAGATGATTCCCTATATCCCAGGAGTTTTTCATACGCAGTTATTTTTTTATTTTTTGATCTGGAGGGGAGGAGGCGTTTTTCTCATCTAAGCACACCCTCTCATCTTTATGCCTTTCCTAAGGGCAGATGTATTTCAGAAAGTAAATGCTACATGAATCATCTGCCCTTACTCAAGCTGGCCATGGCTAAAAATGTGTTCAATAGCATTTTTGGTTTGTTCTGTTCAGATACAGTTGAATTCCACTTTAATCGGGGGGGCTCTGCTTCATTCTCATTCTGCCAATGGGTAATGCCATTGTTTGGTCTGGCCCAAGATCCTTCCCTTTGGCTGCCTGTATAAAGAAAACTATGTTTTTGCTGCTAGGGGAAACGGAGCCTTATGCTGTGAACTCTGGCTATGTTGCCTTTTGAAGCCTTTGTCCCTTGATTGACTTAGTGGTCTTGGCAGTGAGTGTTAATAGGTAGTACTAATGGTGTTCATAGTTCTAACCAAACTCTGCCTGCAAGCAAATGCATTTACATAGCTGCAGTGGATATAAAAAGTCTGCACACGCCTGTTAAAATGTCAGGTTTCTGTGATGTAAAAAAAGACAAATAATTTCAGAACTTTTTCCACCTTTTTAATTTAACCTATAAACTGTACAACTCCATTGAACAACAAACTGAAATCTTTTAGGTGGAGGGAAGTAAAAATAAAAAACTAAAAATATGGTTGCATAAGTGTACACACCCTTAAACTAATACTTTGTTGAAGCACCTTTTGATTTTATTACAGCACTCAGTCTTTTTGGGTATGAGTCTATCAGCATGGCACATCTTGACTTGGCAATATTTGCCCACTTTTCCTTGCAAAAACACTCCAAATCTGTCAGATTGCGAGGGCATCTCCTGTGCACAGCCCTCTTCAGATCACCCCACAGATTTTCCATCGGATTCAGGTCTGGGCTCTGGCTGGACCATTCCAAAACTTTAATCTTCTGGTGAAGCCATTCCTTTTTTGATTTGGATGTATGCTTTGGGTCATTGTCATGCTGAAAGATGAAGTTCCTCTTCATGTTCCGCTTTCTAGCAGAAGCCTGGAGGTTTTGTGCCAACATTGACTGGTATTTGGAACTGTTCATAATTCCCTCTACCTTGACTAAGGTCCCAGTTCCAGCTGAAGAAAAACAACCCCAAAGCATGATGCTGCCACCACCATGCTTCACTGTGGGTATGGTGTTCTTTTGGTGATGTGCAGTGTTGTTTTTGCACCAAACATATCTTTTGGAATTCTGACCAAAAAGTTTAACTTTTTTTCATCAGACCAGAACATATTTTCCCACATCCTTTTGGGAGACTTCAGATGTGTTTTTGCAAAATTTAGCCAGGCTTGGATGTTTTTCTTTGTAAGAAAAGGCTTCCGTCTTGCCACTCTACCCCATAGCCCAGACATATGAAGAATACAGGAGATTGTTGTCACATGTACCACACAGCCAGTACTTGCCAGATATTCCTGTAGCTCCTAGGCCTCTTGGCAGCCTCCCAGACCAGTTTTCTTCTTGTCTTTTCATCAATTTTGGAGGGATGTCCAGTTCTTGGTAATGTCACTGTTGCACCATATTTTCTTCACTTGATGATGACTGTCTTCATTGTGTTCCCTAGTATATCTAATGCCTTTTGAAGTTCTTTTGTACCCTTCTCCTGACACCTTTTAACAATGAGATCCCTCTGATGCTTTGGAAGCGGTCTGCGGACCATGGCTTTTGCTGTAGGATGCGACTAAGAAAATATCAGGAAAGACCTACTAGAACAGCTGCACTTTATTTTGCATTAATAAGAGATACTTTAAACGATGGCAGGTGTGTACTGACTCCTATTTACCATTATTTTGAATGTGATTGCTTAATTCTGAACACCGCTACATCCCCAGTTATAAGAGGGTGTGCACACTTATGCAACCACATTATTTTAGTTTTTATGTTTCCTTCTCCTGAACGATTTAGTTTTTTTTTCTCATTTTATTTACATCACAGTAACCTGACATTTTAACAGGGGTGTGTAGACTTTTTAAATCCACTGTACATGCAAGGGTGGCTGAGACAAATAGCCCCGGAAGCTACTGGTAAATCACAAACAAGTTTATTGCATGCTTTGCAATACACTTTCACAGACTAAAATTTTGGAGATGCTGCATGGCATCATGTTACCCAAAGTTTAGGAAGCTAGTTTTTTAAACTATGGTAACCATTTCAGGATGGAAGATCATAGTAGTCTTAATGCCCAGTATGTGTCAGTTAACTTTGAATCATTTATACATGCTTATGTTTTATTTTGTATAATAAGCCAACAAATGGACAAAAATTTAAAAAAAAAAATGACTTTTTTGTTTTTTTAGACTTGTTCCATTTGTTTAAAAAAGAAAAAAAACCTTTTTTACACAAACTTCTCATCTTAAACAAGTCACAGTGACCGCTGTAACCGACAGGTTTATTTGCGACAACCCTCACGTGACTACGATGGTTGACCACATATTTGGTAACCAATCCATTTGGTGCATACTCCTAGTTTTATAATGGAACTAGATGAAATGTCCTGTCAGTGCCAGTGAATGTTAATCCACAGATTGTGGTCTGAAAGGCTTAAATTACACTTTATTTCTAAACTTGTTTTCTATTACTGGTGAAAAAGTTGTGTTTAATGCAGGACTAAACCCATCAATTTAACGATTTCCCACAACAGTTACATTTAAGGCATGCCATGAATGATAATTGTAAGAGTTGCTTGTGATCACAATCAAACTGTCAAGCTAACAAATGGCTGATGTCATTGCTGATCACATGTACAACACCATGGCAGCTGCAGAGCAGACAGGCCAAGATGGCAGCTTCCTTGGCTGTAAAGGTTAGAGGGATTTAGTTCTACTCTAAGGGAGCTTTGAGTTTTGTTTTAAATAGAAGTGCATAATCAAAAAGTCAACTATTTGAACATATTCTGTATTTCACAGAAACACATGCTGAAGGAAGGCAAGGGGAGAATGCTTCAGGCCATCAGCCCTAAACAAAGCCCCAGCAGCAGTCCTTCTCGGGAACGGTCTCCTTCCCCATCTTTCCGCTGGCCCTTCTCCAGGTCCTCACCACCAGCATCTCCAGGCAGAAGGTCTCGATCTGGACCTGATGCTTATGACATCAGTGAGGATGAAGAGGACTAAGTTGCTATCTTTTCCCTCTTGTGCAATCCTTCCCACCAGCTGCTGATTCCGTATTATCTGGTTTCCAGGAAAGAGCCACATAGAAATGAGGTTGAACTTGATGTAAACCCCATAGACCTGAACAGGATATAGAGTGTGGCACTGAATAAGATGCTCGCTTCTTCCCTACAAATAACCATAATATTTTTGTTGCATTTTTTTAATGAAATCAAGCTGTCTTTTTAATGAACTAGACGTCTGAAATGTTTCTTCATCCTTTATTTGTCTTCTATTTTTCTGGAAGGTATTATCGCATGGGAGTGTTGCACCTCATTCATCCTAACCCTTTTTATTACTTGAACTCTACACATCATTTCTACTGCGAGCTCCCATTTCACAGGACTGTAAAGGATTTTAATGGAAGACGAGTTCTAGAAGCCAAGTGGCACAAGGAGATTGTTTTTATATGTCAGTGTGAAGGCATTAATGAAACTTTACTGAGCTATGGGGGTAGTGACCAGTCCCATACTTTGTTTTAAACATTACCCCATGGAATTTAGCCATTTCTCATTAAAAGTGCCTGTTGTCATAAAAGCTTTCCGTTTTTATTCTGTTTCTGAAACACACTTTTTCTGCAGCTAAAATATATAATCAAACAAATGAAAGTATAGTTCATAGCTGGTACCAATAGGAACTATGGACAGAAAGACATCTGCTTGCCATCAAAGCATTATAGGACAGGAAAATAAATTGAGTATGTAAAGCCATCCTAAGACATGCCCAATTTCTAAGGATTTGCTGCTCCTGTGGTGCAAGACCAATGACCGTAACCTCACTTTTGAGGCCCAAATCATCTTTCATGAACCATAATAATGGTTTGCTTTGGGAGATTTGACTCATTAGAATTATTTATAAATTGGCTTCTAATCATAATAATCAGGTATTGTAGGAACACTTGAATTCATATACCTGTTTTTACTTCTTTTCAAAATTGTTCATTAATGGGAGAAAAGCGTTTTGTTATAGAAATAATTATGGTGACAGAAGTACTACAGTAAAAACCTGGGACAACAGACTTTTGTTCATGTCAAACAGGTTTTTCATTCCCATAAAAGTCTAATAGAATGCAAAACTCACCTGAAACAACTCAGAAGGAAGATTAAATGCACCTGTGTTGATGGGGGCATCAAGCGATTTTGTTTCCCGGAACCTTTGGTTGCAGGAAAGAAAATTGCATAATCTTTGGTTTTCCAAGTAGTCTTCCAGGACAGCCCACAAAACGTAGAGCTCCTCCCACGAGACAGGAAATGCGTTACTCCAAAGAGAATAAAAGGTGGTCCTCCAAACTCCAGCCTCAGTTATTGGCGTTTCCCTGGATGGTGGTAACATGTTTCCTGAAACCATGTGGAAAAGTTCTCTCCCCAGGGCTGCCTGGACGCTCGGTTGGGGGGGGAGGTTCACTTAGGATTCCCTGTCTTCTAGCCCTGCAGCATTCTCCTCCTAGGGGTGTTTGGGGATTAGGCTGCAACAGTCTGACCCTTCCCAGGCCCTGGGGAGGGCCGGGATGGTGGTAGCATTCCCTTGGCCAGGATGTCCCCCTGCCTGTGGAGGAAGGTATGGTGCTCTCTGCAGCCTTTCCTTCATTTGGAGGCCATATTCTGGGAGAGTGTAGGCGGCTATGTTCTGCTCCTGCCTGGCCTTCCTCCTCTTCTGCGTTCCAGGCTGGCTCCGGAAGTTTTAGTGACATCATTTCTGAGAGGTGGGTAACGTCATTGCTGGGCACGCTGGTTCAAATTCGCATTTGAAAAAGGGTGCAGGGCTGACTTTTCGGGCGGCAAGTGGGGAGGTCTTTGCTACAGCAGAGGCTGGAATGGAGAGACCGGCGATTATGGATCCTCCCGTGGCTGATACTCTGGTAGTTTGATTTCGGGCAAGCAAGTACCAGCTCCTCACAGGTAAAAGCAATGGGGAGGGCTCCCAGATGTATGCCTGTGTAGGTTTTTTCCTGTCACATACAGCTCCTTGGGTGATAGGCTGTTTCTGACAAGATCACATTTCCTCCTTCTGCTGGAGCACAGGGTGTGTTATCTAGTGAGATTTTGGTGGCTGAAGGTCCCCTTCTTTACTGCTGTTTGTTTACAGACTAAAGCACAGAAAAAAGGTCCAGACCCTGGCCCCAAGAGAAGGAAATGTGCAGTTTGTGCTGCAAAATTGGGATCTACAGTGGGGATCGAAAGTTTGGGCACCCCAGCTAAAAATTTGTATTAATGTGCTTAAAGAAGCCAAGAAAAGATGGAAAAATCTCCAAAAGGCATCAAATTACAGATTAGACATTCTTATAATATGTCAACAAAAGTTAGATTTTATTTCCATCATTTACACTTTCAAAATAACAGAAAGCAAAAAAATGGCATCTGCAAAAGTTTGGGCACCCTGCAGAGTTAATATCTTGTACTGCCCCATTTGGCAAGTATCACAGCTTGTAAACGCTTTTTGTAGCCAGCCAAGAGTCTTTCAATTCTTGTTTGAGGTATCTTTGCCCATTCTTCTTTACAAAAGTCTTCCAGTTCTTTGAGATTTCTGGGCTGTTTGTCACGCACTGTTCTTTTAAGGTCTATCCATAGATTTTTAATTATGTTGAGGTCAGGAGATTGTGAAGGCCATGGCAAAACCTTCAGTTTACGCCTCTTGATGTAATCCCCCGTGGATTTCGAGGTGTGTTTAGGATCATTATCCATTTGTAGAAGCCATCCTCTCTTTAACTTCCACTTTTTCACAAATGGCATCAAGTTACCATCCAAAATTTGCTGAAATTTTATTGAATCCATTTTTCCTTCCGCTGGCTGCAACACAACCCCAAAGCATGATTGGTCCAACCCTATGCTTAACAGTTGGACAGAGGTACTTTTCATTAAATTCTGTGCCCCTTCTCCAAACGTACCTTTGCTCATTCCGGCCAAAAAGTTCAATTTTAACCTCATTGGTCCACAGAACTTGTTTCCAAAATGCATCAGACTTGTCTATATGTTCATTTGCAAAGTTCAAACGATGATTTTTGTGGTGAGGACGTAAAAGAGGTTTTCTTCTGATGACTCTTCCATGAAGACCATATTTGTGCAAGTATCTCTTTATAGTGGAATAGTGTACCACAACTCCAGTGTCTGCCAGATCTTTCTGGAGGGATCGTGCAGTCAAACGTGGGTTTTGAATTGTTTTTCTCAGAATCCTGCGAGCTGTTCTGTCTGATATTTTTCTTGGTCTTCCAGATCTTGCTTTAACTTCCACTGTTCCTGATGACTGCCATTTCTTAATTACATTCCGAACAGAGGATATTGACATCTGAAAACGCTTTGCTATCTTCTTATAGCCTTCTCCAGCTTTGTGAGCGTCCACTATTTTCAGTTTCAGTTTTCTAGACAACTGCTTAGAAGAACCCATGGTGCTGATTGTTGGGGCAAGGTCAAATGAGTCTGGGCATTTAAAACCTTTTGAGATTGACATAACCTGGTTATCTGGGGAACATTTTGAAAGTGTAAATGATGGAAATAAAATCTAACTTTTGTTGACATATTATAAGAATGTCTAATCTGTAATTTGATGCCTTTTGGAGATTTTTCCATCTTTCCTTGGCTTCTTTATGCACATTAATACAAATTTTTAGCTGGGGTGCCCAAACTTTTGATCCCCACTGTACTTGGAACAAGCCCGGTCCTGTACGAATAGTCTTGTAAAGGAGGACTCTATCTCAGCTTGTGTCAAATTGCTGTCATCAGTAAAGAACGCGTTGGTAACCACGGTCAGTTCTTTGAAGACTTTGTTGGAGGATTTTAAAAATCCTACCCCACCTCCTCCTTCCTCAGAAATCAGCCCTTCCACAGCCAAGACCCGTACACTTTTTTTTTTGTGACCAAAGACAGCCAATCAAGGTAAAGAGGCCAGGCCAAGGATACGGCCAGTCAACAAAGGTAACGGTAAAGGAGGAATCTTGTTTAATCCTCCAACTCTCCTCCAAGACCCACTGACTCCTTTCTCCCAGTAGGAGGAAGATTGGAGGCCTTCCTTCCAGCTTGGGAGTCCGTCACCTCCAGTCTGTTTTTATCCTTCTTAAAGTAAAGGATACAGGCTGGAGTTCAATACCTTTGCCCCCCAAAGGTTCTTGATCACAAATCTTCCTCGGGATTGGGAAAAAGCAAGCACATTGTGCTTGCAAATAGAGATGGTCGATCAGAGGGTTTTAGTCCCAGTTCCTATGAATGAGAGGGGTCAGGGTTTCTATGCTCACGTTTTTTATAGTGAAAAAACCCTCAAGCAAATTCTGTCTGATCCTGAATTTGTGACCTTTCAACAAATCAAAGTACAAGCATTTTCAATATTCTCTCTCAGGTACATCCTGCGTCAGATGTTTTAAGGTGACCCTAGATATGAGGGATACATACCTTCATGTACCCATTCATCCCTCTTATCAAAAGTACTTGAGAATGGTCATCCGGTTGGGGGAGAAGGTTCTGCACTTGCAGTGCAGAGCACTCCCTTTTGGGCTGGCTAAAGCCCTAAGTATTTTCCAAAGTCCTGGGAGAAGCTCTGGCTCCATTGGGATTAAAGGGCATTCTGATAGTACCTTATTTAGACGCTCTCCTGTTAGCTGCTCCCTCTGAACAGCAGTTGTGCAAGGATCTAGAGTTTACCCAGAACACCCATCCTAGCGCTTAAAGGTGGATCAATTGGGAAAAATCAAATCTGGAGCCATGTCAGTTGATAAGATTCTTGGGGTACATCATAGATTTGACAGTTCAGAAAGTGTTTCTCTCAGCAGACAAGCTAGACAAAGTGAGGTACTGAGTAGCGCAGTTGCAATCAAATCTTCCAGTTTCCCTGAGGGAGATTTCTGCAGTATTAGGTCTCATGACTGCATGTTTTCCAGAGGTTCCTTGGGCCCGTTTTCACCAAAGGCCTTTACAGCACTTTCTGCTCAGAGCCTGGGATGGGACAAGGGACACCCTATACCACAGAGTTCTCCTTCT